AGAGCCGGTACGGGGGCAGTTGAGTCATTTGGGGGGTGCGTGTGTGCGAGGGGTGCATGTGTGCAGGGGCGCGAGGGGGTGCACGCACACAGGGATGCGATGGGAGCGGCCGAGGGGTAACTGGGAGGGGGATGGTTTTGGGAAACCCCGTCCTGTCTGTGCTGGGGATGGGGGCCGTGCTCTGCTGAGCTCTTGTGCGTGCCCTCAGGGTTTGTGGTTGTAGGTTTGCCCTCAGAGCACGTTTCTCCAGAGCTTGTGTTCCTAATTCTCCATTTTTATGCTTTCTCGCACCCACAAGGATGCGGTGTCCTACGCCATCACCGTAGAGGGGAGGCCGTACACCATCCGCCTGCAGCTGCAGTGAGTTGACCCTGGCGTTGCCTCGTCCAGGACCTGGAATAAGCTCAAGAAACTCTGGGTAAAACCATTTCGGAGCATTTTCAGAGGATTTTGTTGGTTTTGTGTTCTAGATTTCAGGACGATTTCAGGATTTACACGTACAGCAGGAAGGGCTCCTTGCACTCTACCCTGCCCCATGTCGAGGTACCGCTGTCCTGCCCGGTGGTGGTGGTGTTCGGGGACGGCCGCGATGCTCGGTGTTTGGGGCTGTCACCGTTACTGCAGGGGCGTTTGTGGAGGTTTTTCGAGCTGCTGAGTTTGCTCAGGTCAAAGTTTATAATCCTGGCTGTGACTGCTGTTTCTTATGGAGGGACCAGGAGAAAAGTCCCTGCAGCCAGCACTGTCACTTGTCACAGGGCAGGGTGGCTCCTTACCACGAGGATGCCTCATCCTCACACTGGGATTTGATTTGTCCACAAAACCCTTGTGCCAGCGTCTGCTGGGGCTACCACCGAGGGTCTCCTTGTCCCCTGTCGTGACACAGGGAGGCTGCCACTACCGGGGACACATCGAAGGCTTCCCCGGCTCCGCAGTGACCCTCAGCGCCTGCGCGGGGCTCAGGTACGAACCGACACCTCCCCGCGCTGTGGGCCCGGGGCTGCGTCCCCGAGGCGGTGACCAACAGCCGGTGCCATCACCTGGGCAGGGGTTTGCTGCAGTTCGAGAACGTCAGCTACGGCATCGAGCCCCTGGGGTACTCCCCTGCCTTCGAGCACGTCGTGTATCGCCTGAGCGACGGGAGCATATATAGGTATATCTCTGTGTGTGTATAGGTATATACATAGATGTAATGGTGTATATGTGTAGATTACAACATTAAGAGAACAGTCAACCTAATAACTTCAAGGAAAAACAACTCACTTCAGATTTGACTTTGTTAGTGCTGAAAAAAGAATAGCCAGTGAGCAAATAGGAGTTAAAGTCCAAATTTGTTTTAATTACTAGGAGTCCTGGGATGTTTTTGCCTTCCATTTTATTATCTCAGCCGTAAAAAATGCAGTGTTTGAGATAGTGAATATTTTCGAGAAGCAGTCGTCGTACTCACTTTAAACAGGAGAGAGTGTGCTGCTCCGGCACTTCTGCCCGTGGTGTCAGCGCTGCCTGGTTTGAATCGAGTTTTGGGAAGTGATTGCATGTGGAATTTACTTTGCAATAGCATGTCCAGAGCAGTGGCCTAAAGGGACTTGAAACGTGAGAAACAAACACAGCTATTCTTACTGCAGGAGCGATAAAGTAGAAAGCGGGGATTTGACTTGAAAAGTGGACACTTCTCATTTCAAAAGCAAGATATTTCTGAATGCTTCTTGATCTCTCGTAATAATGCAAGAGAACTGAAAGACACCCGGGGGACCACTGTGCCTGCATCTGATCCAGCCCGTGAGTTGCACAGGGGTTTTAGAGAGCCGCGGCATAAATGGGCAATTGCTTTGTTGTAGCTTTGTCAGTGGGGCCAAAGCCTTCAGCAGCTGCAGCGCCCGCGACTTCGAAGCCTTCCTGAAGCAGCGCCGGGACTGCCCCGTCCTTGCCCCCGCGCCCCGCGAGCCCTCGTACCGCAGGGGGCCCATCTGTGGCAATGGCGTGGTGGAGCGCAGCGAGCAGTGCGACCGCGGGGCGCCCGAGGTGGGCGCGGGGAGGGGTCTCGGGGCAGGTAACGCGTGTGTGCGGTGGCGCTGCTCTCT